TATATTTTGATAGTTCCAGACTTTAGATTCGCATCGTACCTATACGTTATAACTTTATAAGAAAACTCTGTAACGCAGAAATTTTATTTGCAAAGCCCTGTAGTAAGTGTAAAATCCACACGTTAGCTGTTCTCTATTCTTTAAAATTAAATATAGCTTCTATTTCCTCATTAGTTTGTGCTCCTTCTTGTGGTGCATGAATTTGTATTTCAACAGAACACTTTTTGCGGAAGTTTGTACCAAGCCCAAAAATCGACCAGAACCATATTCCCGTGTATTCCAGAACCGATTAATAATTATTCCTGTGTATTCACGACCAACTACCAGAAATATATAAATATAGGTATAAATAATAGTTGTTGATATATTTTTAAGTTTTTTCTTTACATCTCCTGTAGTGATATTTAGCCCAAATTTGGAATGTAAGGGCTTACATCATTGGCCTTGATGGTCAATGATAGTAAGAATCTACGGGTGGACGATTTTTGATCAGGAATAAGGAAACAATGTTCTCATTTTTTTAGAAACTTTTTGGTCTTTGTAATTGTTATGTATCAGCGAATGTTATATTAAAGAAAAATAAAAATCAGCTCTCTGTAGTTAGATAAATGAAAATAAAATTTTTAAAATAGTTCAGTAGGCCTTGATTTTATTTGACTCTTGTAACCACGTGACGCTCGAAAAGAGAAGAGGGAACGAAATATCGCAAGGGGGAGAGGGGGGTGTAGTGACATAATAATTTAATTTTTTGCTAAAAATGTGTGACGTTGATCTTCAATAAAGCATAGTTACTATAGAAGAAAGTCTTGATAATTCGTGGTCTGAGGACAATGTTCTTGGTGTAGTCTTCGCTCCTGTGGCAGGTCCATGATCTGTGCCCCCCCCCCCGTTGGCAGAATTTTTTTCATGATTAAAAATTCAAATTTTTCGCATAATACGACTCCATATTGAGTGCGCCATTTTGAATTTTGTAATTCTGATGATATCGGATTCGTAATGAGATCCCTAATAACCACCTATAGTGTGAAATTGCAAAACATTTTTTTTAATTCAAATTATTCTCATACGTCCTATTGAGTCCGCCATTTTGAATTTCGTAATTTTGACATCGGAATTGTAATCAGAGACCAATCAATTATTTTTTGTTACTGCGAATGGCAATTGTTATTTTTGTTACCACAGAAAATTTTCCTGAAATTGTGATCAATTCTTTTCTTTTATAAGAATTAAAGCAAAAATTTGTCTTTTAGAAATTTGAACACTAGTAAGTTTATTCATTTATCCTTTAACTTAAAAATCGTTTGTGCCCCCTGTCCCCTCACAAAGTACGCCAAATACAAAACGTCACTTCTATGAAAAACACTTGACGTTTCTGCTGTAACACTGAAACAAAGTATTGTCCGCTAGCAATTTTTATTCAAATATATTCGCCTTCAAACGTATCCCACCTTCCAGGGGACAATACTTTGTTTTCAGTTTTACAAAAGAAACATCATCACATATTCATAAAAGTGATTTTTGCATTTGGCGTGCTTGCTGAGTAGACACAGACGAATTTGAAGGTGTCATAAGTTACAGGATCATTGAATAAACATATTTGTGTCAAAATTGCTAGGATACAAATATTTACTTTAATTCTTATAGAAGAAAAAGGATTGATCTTTAAAAAAAATAACAATTGCCATTCGTAGAAACAAAAAAAATTGCTAGAAGCAATTGTTATCGTAACTAAAAAATAATTGCTATCGTAACTAAGCTAGAGTTTTCCAGTTGCCAACTTAAGTAGACACGCCGTATTTGAATGTTTTAATAGAACGTAACTGGAGAAAGTTATTTGTTTGACGAGCTAATCGTATAACTTTATTCAATTTTCAGTTATTGAAACTTCTCCCATTTATGTAAAATTAGAAAGTAAAATTTTGAGACTCCTATGCCCAAAATAATTTTATTAGAGAAATAACATTAGTTATAAAAGTGATTACTTAAGTCTTCGGATTTATTTTTAATAAGGCAACTGTATTTTTTATTTATGAAAAGGGATTGAGTATTTTGGTTTATGTATAGCAAACCAAAAAAGTGCAAATTTTTTTATATAAAACATTTAACCAAATTTTGGGATTTATTGCTGATCAGAATGAGGAAACATTTCCTGTATCAGTATGGGGGTTGAGTGAACTCAGCTACTCGTTACAGATGCAGCATATTTCTGAGGAAGTTTTACACATAATTTTTTCTGAAACTACAATCAAAATTGTAAAATTATCGTATGAAATAATGTTTTGACACATAGGTACCTACCAATCTAGATACGGATATGTTTCAATTTTAAATGTCATAAGATTAACGCAGCAATGGCTCATTAGGAAGGATAATGACATCTTCTTCACTCTTTTTAGAGACGAAAGTAAGTTGTTTCTAAAGTAGTTTCAGAAAAAATAAATTTTCCAACATAATGACATTAAATATTTATAACAAAAAACTCTGGAAATGTTCGATCTATCTCTGGAATTAGCAGCTGATTGCTTATTGAAGTAGGTTTCTTATTTTACTGTAGTGTCTAATCGGGTTTCGAAATGGGCCCATAAAAGCGCTATAAACCGCATGATAATGGCCTTAGTTCACGTAAACACTCCCCAATAAGTACTTGCATTAAAATTAATTACGGTAGAAAAAACGGGCGAAGCAGTTATTTTCGAAGAAAAAGCCTCTCGAAAGAAACGTGTGAAATGAAACCGCTGAAAGATCTGTTAACCATATAGAGACGTAGCCGTTTCCCGAAATTTCGACGTTCGTCGTCTCGCTCCCGATCGCAAAAATCGTCGAGTGGAAGCGAAACGGGAAAAGAGGACAAGTGTGAAAAGCCAGAATTCCGATATACAGGTGGCCTACAGCCGAATGGTGCTTATCTATCCACACCAGCTCCCACTATCTTAAGGACCTCTTTGAATTTATCACACTACCAACTGACACATGGGCTCTCTGAAGTGGCTCGAATTATCTCTAAATTAAAAAGGACAAAAATTCGAGCATCGGGCGATAAGGGGACACATCATCAACCCTAATGCGCGCTCTTCGCCCGGGAACGACGAAGCGAAGCTCTGAAAGCTATTCACCGGTCCAAAATCGAATTACGAGCAGTTTCAGATTGTATTGTTTCGGGGCACGCTTTGATCTGAGGTGTAATGGCTGCCGCTCCGCATGCAAATGGCTGCCAGAACAACGCCCACGTGTACAGCATCTTTTGCATTTTGAATGTGATTGTTTCTGGAAAATGACAACGTGCACTATCACAATCTAAGCGCCAAATCGAGCCACAAAGATATCACGGGCATAACCTCGTTAGCGGAGTCAAAAGGTTGCGCAATTTAATTGTAACGATTTGAATGCAATTTGCTCGCTTCGTTCGGTTCCCAGTTGATAAACAATTACGGTATGCAAATGGGAGTTTTATTAAAGATAAATTGTTTCGATAACGGATTTTTCTGACGACTAAAAGCTAAACCTCGTAAATCCTAAATAGCGAAACGGTGTCGACGCATATGGCAATATTGATAAAGGGCTTAAATTATAATTCCGTGTAGTTCGATATTTAGAGTAGTCTAATTTATGTGTTTTGGTATTTAGAGAGATATATCTCCTGCTGTCTGGTTAATATGATGCCCGCTTGTTTGTATAACTATAATTCCTCAAAACTTATGAGTTTCCAATTGATCTATAGGTATAGGTATCGAGACTTTCATGGTTTAATTTGAGGGCATGTTATGCAAATCTTAGTTCTGATATAATTTTGGTATTGGCATTCTGCGAATAGTGTTGTATAATCTCCATAGTCCTTAGGTAGGTAGGTACTACAGTTAGAAAAATAAACGTTTTAAAAAGATTTATACGTATACTCAAGATAGGCATAAGAAAAAATAAACAATCATAAGTAATATCAGAACATCTGCGGATCCGCTGGTAAAAATAAAATAAACGCCACGTAGATTATAAAATGTGTATAGGTGTATAGGTCGGTAGGTATCTACCAAAAGTTTCTATTTTGTACTTATTTATCAGAAACTATCATATGTACCTAACTATAATCATTTACACAATTTAAGCCTCTCCCACGGGGAGTTACGTACAAGTGTAGAAATGTTGTACCTATCCTGTTTTGTTTCAATATGCCCATAAAGCACACTTGCGGAACCCAGTGTCCTTTCTCAGTCCATCAAGTTAGCCCCCGCAATTAAAAAAAAAATGTGTAATGACCATTTTTATATAGTGCTAGGGTTGTGCTAAATTGTGCTGATTCGATTTTAATTTGTGCTGATCTGGAAAATCAATTTTTTTAAATTGAAACGCGGGGGCCAATTTGACGCCCAGCCCCCCGGTTTTTTTAACGTACAAATTCCATTACTACTTTAACGAGTTGTGCTCGATGCATATTGGATTGTGCCGGTCAAATATTCGAAAATAGTCTTACAGTACACGGTAGTTCCTGCACTCAAATCTCGGGGCCAACTTAACTCCTCTAAACGGAGACGCAATGCAACCTATTTCTCAAGAATTGCCCTAAAGAGGAGTAGTAATTCGTAAGAAATCAGCACATGTGGGAAATTTTAAAATTGAATAAAATCAGGTGTAACTTTTTCAGATTCAATTACGTTTTTGTAGATTACTGACATAGTTCGCCTATTGGGCAACGCATAAATTCAAGGGACAAACCGTTAATCAGAAAAAAAATCCAGGCAGTAATCAACAAATCGCCTCTTCGGCGCAAAAATATACTACCTACGTAAAACTTAAAACCGATATTAACGATAGTAATGGCATAGCAATAGTGCAATATTGTACTATGCGAAAGGTACTTTCTAAAACTCGAAAGTTTTCTCTTTCATTGAATATTTAATTACCTTCATTACATTGATTTGGTTCTCAAACAATACGGGTAAAGTTGCAGATACGTTTATTGTTTTTTTGGAAAAGCATAAGCAATTTTTCAGCCCTCCCCGTAGTCACGATTGACGTGTTTTGTCAGATTTACCTAATATGGATAAGTGAAACATTAATGACAGTATAATGTGACCTTTGTTATCTGTTTGTCAAAAAAAAATGTAATCTGGCAAATTCTTAATCGTTCACTGTGCCATCAGAAGTCACTACAATCACGGTCGTTGGCCATCCTCAACCGGTCTACTGCGGGTGGACAGGCGGTAGGTAATGGTTAGATTAGTTTTGTTATAATAAACCGCTTCTATTTTTTAGTCGTTTAGCAACCATTTGATAGTCTACGTAGCACCTGTAATATTTAGAATTGGTGAGTATATCTAAATTGTTAATTTGACCGCAAGCATAATGCTATTGAAATACGTGTAACGCATTCATAATTAAAAATATCCTTGATTGTAGAAAAACAGCCTCGCCTTTTCGAATTTGTCTTTGTTAATTCATAGATGGGCCATACTGCTATGGTATATTTAGATATACCAGTAACAGAAAGTTACAAAAATTTACAAATGTACTAGGTACATATTGTTGATATTTGGGGTTAATCTCCGTGCAAGAAAATGCCCGTTTTTCGCAAAATTATTCCCCAACGTCGGTATCTGATACAATCTCCAAATGTTGATAAAAAATTAAAATATCAAACATTTACATTATTATCGTCAGTTTGTCGATAATTAACAGCGCATTAAGAAATTAACTGGTGTATCAAGAATTCGAGACATTATTTGCCGTGAAGATGGGTCACAAACCTTTCCGGGAATGTTTTCTGTAACAGTCTAGTGCTTGTGGAACTTCTCTTGGACGACCAAAAAATCTTTCGGTGGACAAGCCGCGTACATTTCAAAATTCAAATCGCAATAGTATTTTTGCATACAACTACGCGAAACTTGTTTTAATGCTATATGATTTTATTTTTAGCCCGAAAAAAATAGATAAGCAAAACAGGTTTAACATTGCTCTTCTGCAAAAACTAGAATATTGATGTCACCGCACCCGATAATTGATAAATTTGCAACACTGAACCAAGGAATACAAGTTAGAGGATTAAAGTAGCGCATTCGGTGAAAGACTGAACTGGGATTATTCGATTTGCATCTTAGGTCTGTTTGTAACGTTCAATTATTTTGTATAAATTTTGGTGAATTCTTTTGGAATATGAAGTTTGACGTTGCAAACAGTACTTTTTGTCCTTTTTAGCGCATTTTTTCAAATTTATTTGTGAAAAGGTAGCTGCTAATCTCACTTTGGCTGGCTAACTGGCTGGCAGCAAATGTGGAACGCTTGCAAAAAGACGAGACGTTGTGTACCTACCGGGGCCATGTAATGTAATGACTTTAGGAACGGGGCTACATGATGTGGGCTCGGCGACATTTGGGCGGCATTCCCTAGCGTGCGTATATTAACGTGGTGGTTTTTTAGTTTTTTCCTACTTTCTTCTACAGTTTTGTTGTGATTGTTTTCAAATTGGTGTCGTCGGAAAGATCTTGTAAACGCGCACAACTCCTGCGTGACGGAATTTTGTTTTATTTCCTAGGGGAGAAATTAACCATCTTTTGCAAAGCGCGCATCTTCTTAGAGCTCGTATCGCGATCTCTCTTTCTCCTGTCGCCAATAGAAGCTCGAGATATGAAAAGTGCCCCAAAATTGAGTACTATTTTGTGGTTGCTTTTTTTTTATCGAAATCCACCAAAATACGAATTGCGGATGAACGGGATGTCGGAAACGGGTATCGACAAAGGGAATGTGGTAGCCCCAGACAAGATCTTACCTACTGATGGTGGAGTCAAAACTTCAAACGCGAATTGCGGGTGAAAAGAACGGCGGAAGCGGGTACCAACAAAGGGAAAGTGGTAGTCTTCGACAAGATCTTATTGAAGGTGGAGTTAAAACTAGCTAATCAAATACCGATCTGCCACACAAAAATGTGCTGAAGTCCCTTCAAAATCACACAAGGACTTTTTTCTGTAAATTTGTAGTATAGTTTGATTATTATTTGAACCCTCAAGTTAGCTAATAAAACTATACATAAAATGAACCTCATAGGTCAGATTCTTGTAACAAACGTTCTGCACTACATTTTAGTTTATTTTCAACTACATAGAACTATGGCCTTTCGAATTCGTTTGATCTAAGGATCGATCATACATAGAGCTCATTCAGCAGCCGACTATAAGCTATTACCCTGATTGTACCTCTTGGCCCCTTTTTGTCTGGTGTTTATCCATTTGTGCAGCGTGAAGGAAGTAAATATAAGGTTCTCTTATAGTCTTATCAGCCAGCGGTACTTCGGACGTGTTTAAATTAGGTATATCTTAATTATTAATCACTGTCTGTGAAGCATGAGCCATTAGCACCTGATCGTCTCAGAATGAGCCTGTTGTCTGAATTCTACAACTTTTCTTGTACACATACACTTTTTTTTTCGTAAGACGTAAGACACAATCGCAATATTTACAACCGAAGTAGTACGTAATACCACAGACAACATATAATACTACAAACGACAAGTAATATACCTATAGTCTGTTTCAAATTAAGTCGACACTATTGCTAACTTTCTTTGTTGGATTAGAGTTAGAAAGATGGTTAAATTACCACAAGTTAACTCCACCTTCAAAAGTAATCGTAAACGATTTACATAAAGCGCATTTCCACTTGCATTCATCTCCCATTTGTAAGATGCAACTTCTGTTAAAATCGTAAAAATCCGGCCACAAATATGAAAGATAGCGTTGCACATGGACAATCCATTGTTGACGTGCTACTTCAATTTCAGTTTATGAGAAGAATTTCATTTCAATGCTTTTCTAAATAAGAAAGTTGGAACTGCGTATGTGCAAACCTAAATTTTAAAACTAATGTTAGATTTTCCTTTGTTCCAAGCGCCTAAGTATCAAATTTCACTTAAATGGTTCCATAGATAAAGAAGTTGGCACTGCGCATGCGCAAAATAAAATTTTGAAACTGGCGCTAGATTTTCCTTTATTCCAAGTGCCTATGTATCACATTTCATTTCAATTCTTCCATAAATAAAAAGTTGACACTGCGCATGCGCAAAACCAAAATTTGAAATTGGCGTTTGATTTTCCTTTATCCCAAGTGCCTATGTATCAAATTTCGTTTAAATTCTTCCATAAATAAAAAAGTTGGCACTGCGCATGCGCACAACCAAATTTTGAAACTGGCGTTTGATTTTCCTTTATTCCAAGTGCCTATGTATCAAATTTCGTTTAAATTCTTCCATAAATAAAGAAGTTGGCACTGCGCATGCGCAAAACCAAATTTTGAAATTGGCGTTTGATTTTCCTTTATTCGAAGTGCCTATGTATCAAATTTCATTTAAATTCTTCCATAAATAAAAAAGTTGGCACTCCGCATGCGCAAAACCAAATTTTGAAACTGGCGTTTGATTTTCCTTTATTCCAAGTGCCTATGTATCAAATTTCATTCAAATACTTTTATAAGAAAAAAAGTTTGCAATTCGGTTTATAAATGGTCGAGATGCGAAAAAGGCACTGTGAATTTTGAATCGATTCGACTCAACTTTTGGCATTGCGTATTATATGGCTAAGGCTATGCCCATATTGAATTTCATGCAATTCAGTTCATAACTAACGGAGATGTAAAAGCGATCGGACATTTCTAAACAAAGTTATCGTTCACACGGACAGATAGATGGACAGACAGACAAAGGAACAGACGGAGAGACCAACCGGCAGGCGGCAGATAGCAATGCAAAATTATAAACGATCTCTAGGATCGTTAATAAACGGCAAAAGTGTAAAATTATGGAACATGTAAAAAACGGTTTTTTGTTTTTTTACAATAATTTTTTTTGTAAGCGGTACAGAAGAATTTCCTAGAAAATTTCCTTCCTTGGTACAAGACTCGACACCATAACGAACCAAATAGCGAAAAAAGTAGAACAATAGCTCTTAAGATAAAGAACTAGTAGCGTCGCAAAACCAGCGGACGGACGGACGGACAAAGTGGCCACAATAGCGCATTTTTAGCGCATTTCCACAAAAATAAAAAAAAATGCGCTATTGTAGCCACTTTGTCCGTCCGTCCGCTCGTTTTGCGACGCTACTAGTTCTTTATCTTAAGAGCTATTGTTCTACTTTTTTCGCTATTTGGTTCGTTATGGTGTCAAGTCTTGTACCAAGGAAGGAATTTTTTCTGTACCGCTTACAAAAAAAGTTATTGTAAAAAAAACAAAAAACCGTTTTTTACATGTTCCATAATTTTACACTTTTGCCGTTTATTAACGATCCTAGAGATCGTTTATAATTTTGCATTGCTATCTGTCGCCTGCCGGTTGGTCTGTCCGTCTGTTCCTTTGTCTGTCTGTCCATCTATCTGTCCGTGTGAACGATAACTTTGTTTAGAAATGTTCGATCGCCTTTACATCTCCGTTAGTTATGAACTGAATTGCATGAAATTCAATATGGGCATAGCTTTAGCCATATAATACGCAATGCCAAAAATTGAATCGAATCGATTCAAAATTCACAGTGCCCTTTTCGCATCTCGACCATTTATAAACCGAATTGCAAACTTTTTTACTTATAAAAGTATTTGAATAAAATTTGATACATATGCACTTGGAATAAAGGAAAATCAAACGCCAATTTCAAAATTTGGTTTTGCGCATGCGCAGTGCCAACTTTTTTATTTATGGAAGAATTTAAACGAAATTTGATACATAGGCACTTGGGATAAAGGAAAATCAAACGCCAATTTCAAAATTTGGTTTTGCGCATGCGCAGTGCCAACTTTTTTATTTATGGAAGAATTTAAACGAAATTTGATACATAGGCACTTGGAATAAAGGAAAATCAAACGCCAATTTCAAAATTTGGTTTTGCGCATGCGCAGTGCCAACTTTTTTATTTATGGAAGAATTTAAACGAAATTTGATACATAGGCACTTGGAATAAAGGAAAATCAAACGCCAATTTCAAAATTTGGTTTTGCGCATGCGCAGTGCCAACTTTTTTATTTATGGAAGAATTTAAACGAAATTTGATACATAGGCACTTGGGATAAAGGAAAATCAAACGCCAATTTCAAAATTTGGTTTTGCGCATGCGCAGTGCCAACTTTTTTATTTATGGAAGAATTTAAACGAAATTTGATACATAGGCACTTGGGATAAAGGAAAATCAAACGCCAATTTCAAAATTTCGTTTTGCGCATGCGCAGTGCCAACTTTTTTATTTATGGAAGAATTTAAACGAAATTTGATACATAAGCACTTCGAATAAAGAAAAATCAAACGCCAATTTCAAAATTTGGTTTTGCGCATGCGCAGTGCCAACTTTTTTATTTATGGAAGAATTTAAACGAAATTTGATACATAGGCACTTGGGATAAAGAAAAATCAAACGCCAATTTCAAAATTTGGTTTTGCGCATGCGCAGTGCCAACTTTTTTATTTATGGAAGAATTTAAATAAAATGTGATACATAGGCACTTGGAATAAAGGAAAATCTAGCGCCAGTTTCAAAATTTTATTTTGCGCATGCGCAGTGCCAACTCTTTTATCTATGGAACCATTTAAGTGAAATTTGATACTTAGGCGCTTGGAACAAAGGAAAATCTAACATTAGTTTTAAAATTTAGGTTTGCACATGCGCAGTTCCAACTTTCTTATTTAGAATAGCATTGAAATGAAATTCTTCGCATAAACTGAAATTGAAGTAGCACGTCAACAATGGATTGCCCATGTGCAACGCTATCTTTCATATTAGTGGGCGGATTTTTACGATTTTAACAGAAGTTGCATCTTACAAATGGGAAATGAATGCAAGTGGAAATGCGCTTTATGTAAATCGTTTACGATTACTTTTTAACTTGTTTTTTATTTTTGTGGAAATGCGCTAAAAATTGTGTATTTTTTCTACTGAATTCAAATCTGCGATTAAAAAAACAAAACTACATCGCATTTTTCAGATAATAACAAAAATGTGATTTTTGTATGGAACGCCCTGTCTATTATTACATCACATGACGGCTTATTAACTTCGCTAAAAAAGTTCTTAATTCAGCTAAAATACGAGGGTTGTCCCCAAAGTAGCAGACGTTTTGAAATAAAAAATTTCTAAATGCGTTTCCTTTGCTACCTATATAAGCAAATTGAATAATGTGAAATCTAAGTAAAGTTTTTAACATCAACACTTCAGAAGCAAATTTTAAGAGCAACAATATAAAACACAACTTATCTACTCTACCTACAAGCAGTGAGTGGAAAATTATATTCAATGCTACAAAAGAGAGAGAGAGAGAACCGAAAAATACCGGTTCTTTGGCACTAATAATAACGGTATCGGTACCGGTTCCAGTTATTATAACTTCCAAGTGAAGGGCTTATAAATGCAATCGGTTCCGGTACCGGACCCATTTTTTCGGTTCCGGTTCCAACCCCTGATTAGGACTGAAAAAGTTAGAAGGGGTGCCGTAGAATTTTTTAGATTTAATTTTCTTGTATCAAATCAATTTAGTTAACCGCTAGGAACCCCTAAATTATTCCAATAAGGGTAAACGAAAATTTTACACTTAGTATACAGTTCAACCGTTTACTTGATTTTTTATTGTCAACCTGATTGAGCAGTGGCTTGCTGTGTAAAGAAGCCAGAATGGTTAAATGACCTCAGCCTTCGGGTAAAGATCCATAATTTAATCTTTTGGGAGTCGTAAGGTAAAGTGATTGAACCAATGGAGCTAGCCGTACCTGTAACAAGATACGAAGATTCGCATACGCTTTTCAGTAGGGGAATTTCTTGATACTCAACTCGTATTCGGAAACACGGCTCGATCATAATCAATAGCACTGATCCTTGAACTCGTAGAAATTTATTGGTGAAGGTTTTTGTTGGTGTTGTTTTCGAGTTAGACGAAAAAACAGACTGAAGAACTTCGTTAGTCATGCGCTCTGGCTACATAAGTTAGAGGCTTGGAGTAAGAGGAGTTGCTTTGGATTTGTTAAAATCATACATTACAGAACGCCATCAAATAGTGAAGCTTAATACCGCATTCAGCGATTTGCGCTGTGTAACGCAAGGAGTTCCTCAGGGATCTGTGTTGGGGCTCCTGTTGTATGTGATCTACTCCAATGATTTAGCTAGTTATATGTCCAGTCGAAATGTTAATATAGTATGTTATGCAGATGATACAAATTTCCTAATTAAACAGGTAAAAAAGTTTAACGTGGACTGAAAATACCAGTTTAGTGGAAAACAGAAACATAACCATATCGGTTCTCTTTAGTCTCACCAGATACCGCTGCGAGAGGAAAATTAGGTACTAGATAAACCCGCAGACAAGACACATTATTCCATACTGAAGGCCGTACATCGTCCACAATTTTCTCATACTTGAATGCATTCTTGATTGTTTCTTCTTGGTGTGTTACACAGTGATTCCATACGTCTGGAGTTATTTCAGTTAATGCACTCTTCCATGTTTAAATGACATCGATGTACCTAAAGAATGATAAAACTTGTTCGATGCCAGTTCAATGGGATTGAAACCTCAATGGTAAGTCGGAAAACGCAGAACTTTGTGGCCATACTTCAGCCCATTTTATAACTACTTGCGGTTTTTGAATTGTGTTTTAACCAACTGTCACCATTCATTTGTGGATTAGGTAATCCTTCAAATGGGGTTGTAAAAGTCTAAACCTCTCCCATACTGGTTTTTTAAAGGTTGTTTCAACAATACGCGAACATCGGGCGGCTAAAATAAATCGTTTAATCGTTGTCTTTCTAAGAATGAAACATCAAATTAAAGATAACACAACACCTACAAATATCGATGCGACAGTTATGCACAACCAGAATAATGTGACGAAAAATACTAACTTACCTTAGGTAACTGCGATACGACATTGTTCTCAGGGTCTCAGAGTAACAGATAACTACTGGCATGAAAATGAATGAAATCATTTATTACCAAAGCTATATTTTGAAAAAATTAGTACAAGGTGTGTCACGTATCGTTAACTTCATTGATTTAAGAACTCTAATAAATAATGCAACTCAGATAAGTCGACTTTAATGTCTGAAGTTAACGCACCTTCTTTACTTCGATTTCAGTTGCAATGAGAGCACACGTGTTCGTGTGTTTAGTAAGTTTTATCTTCGCGGCCGTAGCCAAAGACCCATCCCTGGAAGATGAGGAAATACGCGCAAGAGCATACGTAAAGTTACTGAATGACAAAATAGCTCTTAGAAATAATCGAGAAACATTAGCTGCTTGGAAATATGCTTCAAACATTACAGAAGAAAACTTAAAAGAGCAGGTGCGTAACAATATAACGTATTCATGAACTTATGTTTGATTTTAGCTTGATGTGAGCAAAGAGTCTGCAAAAGAAACAAAAGAAGACTGGTTAGAAACAATCAAATTTAATTGGAGATCGTTCGGCGATTATGATCTACGGCGGCAATTTGAAAAATTATCCATATTGGGTAAATCCGCCTTACCGGAAGAGAAGTTTTTGAAATTGGAGAAAATTATTAGTGACATGCAAACTATTTATTCCACCGCTAAGATTTGCGATCATAAAAATAAAACTAAGTGCGATTTGGTCCTGGACCCTGGTAAGTACATTGCCAAAAACAAACTCGGCTTAACAAGTATTTGCAGAAATAACTGATATATTAGCAAATTCACGTGATCCCGAAGAGCTGAAGCATGTCTGGGTGGAATGGAGGCACAAAAATGCGCCGGCGAAAGAATTATTTAGGGATTATGTTAAGTATGCCAATGAAGCCGCAGTCTTAAACAATTTCACAAGTAATACCGGATTTTGGTTATATGATTATGAATCCCCAACTTTCGTTCAAGACGTAGAAAGTATTTGGGAACAACTCAAACCAATTTACACTCAATTACACGCGTACATAAGGACAAAATTAAGACAACGATACGGGGATATTGTTTCCGAGAAGGGTCCTATACCGGCACATCTTCTAGGTATCTAAATGAAATGTTATTAACAATATCTTACTTAGTTGTGTATTTCAGGCAATATGTGGGCTCAAAGTTGGTCAAATATTGCTGACTTTACTCTTCCACATCCGTCAGCAAAAAGGGCCGATATTACATCAGAATTGCTTAATCAAGTAAAAGTCTAAAGCATTTTTCATAGAATCCATTGATAATTTTACTTTCAGGGGTATGACGCCTTAAAAATGTTTAAAACGGCGGAAGAATTCTTTGTTTCTTTAAATCTGAAGAAAATGACCCCGGAATTTTGGGAACGATCAATATTGGTTAAACCAAATGATGGTCGAGAACTAGTTTGCCATGCATCGGCTTGGGACTTCTTTGACAAAAAAGATTTCCGGTGGGCTATTTGTGCAAAACTAATTTCATAATTTTAACGTTTTTCCTTTAGGATTAAGCAATGTACAAGTGTCAACTTTGAAGATTTCACTACAGCTCATCATGAAATGGGACACATTCAGTACTATCTGCAGTACAGCGACCAGCCAGTTGTTTATAGACAGGGAGCAAACGATGGTAAACCCACAATAAGTAACAAGCGCAGTAATACCTAAATATGTTTTAACCTTAGGATTCCACGAAGCCGTGGGAGATGTAATGTCGCTGTCGGTCTCATCCACAAAACACTTAAAAAGAATTGGACTCATAGACGCGAACACACCTGATAATGATGCTGTTGATTTGAATGCTTTATTTATGGTAAATTTGTATTTCTTTATATATAATAGAATTTAACCTATTTTCACTTATAACAAAGATTGGCCTTGACAAAATCGCTTTTCTACCATTTGGATATCTTATGGATAAATGGAGATGGGGCATATTTGATGGCAATATCACTGCAGAGGACTATAATTGTAAATGGTGGGAATACCGCACATCGATACAAGGAGTAGAGCCACCGGTGGACAGAAGCGAAGATGACTTTGACGCAGCTGCAAAATATCACATAGTAGCTGACGTTCCTTATTTGAGGTACACACGCCCGACGTCTTTTATTCCTTCAAGATTTACTTCAAATTCTTATTTCAGATATTTCGTAAGTTTCGTAATACAGTTCCAGTTTCACAGAGCAGCATGTGAATTGGCAGGTGAATATGATCCTGAAGATCCTACTAAACCTCTACACAAGTGCGATATTTACCACAGCACTAAAGCGGGCGAAAGCATAGCGTAAGCTTAAACAAATAGAAATTTATTATGGTAATTCTGTAATATTGTAGTAAAATGCTGCAAATGGGATCCTCTCGTCCTTGGCCTGATGCTATGGAAGTTCTTACTGGTCAACGTAAAATGGATGCGAGTGGTTTATTGGAATATTTCAGACCCCTGCATAAGTGGTTAGAAGCAGAAAATAAGAAGAACGGCGCATACATTGGATGGGAATCAACCCAGAAAAGTATATAGTTAGATGCTTGAATAACATAACATGGTTTTTATTTTAGAGTGCACAAAGAGGCAGTGAAGATTAATGACATAGTTATAGCAGCTTCAATTAATGGTTTCAGACATACCTTAATACGCATAGTTTCATCTTCACAATATGTGATACTCGAGTTATCAAATTTTTAATAAAGATTTACCTTATGGTCGATTTGTTTCGAGAATCTTTATTTTGATCATGCCTTGACTTGGCTCTTTTAAACTATAGAAAAGTTGATTAAAATCGTTGATCATGCTTGTTGCACATACTATTTACCTTAAAAGTTTCGTGGTTCTATAATTTTCGTGTGTACTGCACCCATTGAATTCTTACTAAATCCTATGATTTTTGTTGTAGGAATTCAGGGTATAAACCGGTTGCTGTGTTAATTAGCATAGTGCTGTGCTGGGCCTTATTACATTGACATAGGATATAGCGTCACTAAAGCCCCTGAAGCGACATTTGATTTCAACGCACGACATTATTGGATTTGAGTAATATCTGTCTTCGCTGTTGACTAATTGCGGGAGGACCGACCTCAAGAATTACTTTAGGAAAACTTATGTAGATTGGTCTCGACTGCCTACACATGGGATAGTGCACCTCAGGTTTATTGTGCTGTCAGTGTATTCAAACCCGTACTCCAACACAATGTCTCTTGCCTCTTTCAATATTATGTCTACGGGTTTGAGGTTCCCGATTGTTTGTGGATTCCAACCTAGCTGTTTTCTTCTTTCCAATGCGAGAGATTCGAAGAGTATGCGATGCGCAGTTTCGTCTTCCTCGCAATCTGCAAGTTGGTTGAGCTCTATATAGGACTATAGGTATAGATGCTGATCTTCTGAATGTTTTAAATCCTACAACTCCGGTAAATAAGCTTTGCAAACTTTTTCGGTGGTGTAGCCTGTTTAATTTTCCCGCGGTAGTTGGATTTTGGTCCAACTGTTAGTTAAAATGTATATCTTGTTACAGGAGTTTCATTCCTGACTTTCAGTCGCGCATTTAGTAATCGCATACAATTCACTGATTTGTTCACTTTTATGTGCACCCTGCACCAGCCAGACTCTGTTTCTCCCGTAAACTTGGAACTGGAACGGTCTGTGTAGATGATGAGGTTTTTGTTTCAGAATCCCAATTTGGGTTTCGTAAGTGAACTGCGTTTGATCATAGCTTTGGTTTAACTCTGGACAAGTCTGTCACAGGGCGCCACTTTCAGAGAGGGCGACAAGATGTGCTAAATTATATTTTTTTAATTATTTACAATTTAGATCTGGGCTTATCATTTAACCCTTGCAATAAAAAGCTGCTATTTCTGCCAGTGGGACATTCCTCTCCTCTGCGGTTCTTGGTGTATTTTGTTTCAAAATCAATACAGATAAATAACACTATGAAGCTCGGTCACTAAGTACGCAATTTAACTACTGTACCTACCAACCTATTGGTTGCGGGGGCACCGAGCTAAATGTAGCCCATGGCGCTAAAAACATAGCCCGGGGCCTGCATTTGGTGGTTGTGTTATAAGTGGGCGTTCTAAATTAGTTTGGAGGCGTATGTTAGGTCCTAAATACGTCACTTTGTGCGTCCACTGAATGTAGGTCTTAAATAGCATCAGTTTTTTGTAGGGTGCTATTTCTTTTCTCCTTGTAAACGGTACTATTGATGCTTTTGTAAGATTGATCATTAAATCTTGTGCTAAGCATCCTTTACTAGTTTACTTTCAGGACTACTTTCATGATATCTTCAAAAATCTTTTGGTTTCTACTTTGGATTATTGTGATCATCAACGTACGCCTCCCTGGGCGCAGCAATCTTTGTCGTTTGTTTAGAAATAGTTCGTCTACTGTTAGGCACCACCGGAGTGGAGATAAATTCTCTCCCTGTGAGCACTCTCTGGTCGTTGAAAGTACTATCTCTCAGATCTAATACCACCGTTCTGGTGTTTACCATCGACATAGGTCACCAATCATGTGGTTATGGTATTTCTTTTTCAATGTAGCTAGTATTGTTGAATTTTGAAGATATCCTCTATGTCAAGGAAAGCCGCGAGAGCAAATTGATTTTCATCTATAAAATATAGTGTTTCTTATCCAATTTTGCTTACTAGCTG